CTAAGAAAGAACTGTTGTTTATTTTTTATTATTTATACTGTTTTTATTTGTATGTTCAATTTGTGAAAAGGAGTTCAGTTAGGAGGTCAGATGTTCTAGAAGCTCATAATTCATGTACAGTTCTAAGGTCTGAAGAGACTCAGATGAAATCATACAGGAGAGAAGCCAGTCAGTTGAAAAACCCTTTTACAGTGCTTGAGTGTTGTTGTTTTTACTGCATATGATAATTCATACTCAGAAAGTAGAACTGAAATGAAATTTAATACAAGATGATTAAATTAATTTTTCCAGTCATGTCATTAAGAATTTTTGTTTAAATGTGTAAAAATCTTGTGTCTTGAGTTAAGTGTCGGCATTAATGATAATCAAACAACAAAAGACTCTTGACAGAATGGCATTTAGCTTTTATAAGAATTTATATAGTGTAAATTGTTCCCTACCATCACATTCACATCTATGAAACCAATAAATAAATTACTACTAAGAAAGAACACATATTTCTTCATTGATCTAGTCACTTGATTCTGCTCTCAAAATGCACCAGATTTATGCATTTTAATTTAAAATGAACAAAATTTTCTTATACCCGCAGAACCCCCTAGACTAGAGGAACCAATGTGCACCCATCACAGTCTCACAAAATCCTGTGGGGACACTGGGAATGTAGAGGAAACACTGTAGTCTCAATGTGTGTGTGTATGCCAGTTCACCTTACTATTTGCATGTGGACCATGTATGGCATTAAATAAATTTCTCCAGTAAAGCATAATGATTAAGGGGGGCCTCACACAAAGAGCAGCCTAGGGGCCCCTGACCACCTTAAATGATGATGCTTTAAACATGCTTGGCTCAGACGTTTCCAATCTATTAATCCATCACCCGCAGGTGGTCTGGTTTCATTAGGCGGTCCGGATTCAGTGCTAAGACTTAAGTTTTCATTCCGTCTTTTAAAGACTGATTGAGGTTTGTTTCACTATTTTCAAATTCAACTTTCAAATTATTGCCCAAACTCGGTCCTGGAGGGCCGGTGTCCTGAAGAGTTTGCTCAAACCCCACTTAAACACACCTGAAGCAGCTAATCAAGCTCTTATACTAGAATCTTCCCGGCAGGTGTTTTGAGGCAAGGTGGAGCTAAATTCTTTAGGACACCGGCCCTCCACGGCCAAGTTTGGGTACCCTTGATGTAAAGACACCTAAATTCCACTTGAGAAGCACTTCTGTATGTGCACTTACACTATCTGTACACTACACTCTTAAAAATAAAGGTGCTTCACGATGCCATAGAAGAACCTTTTTGTCTAAATGGTTCCATAAAGAACCTTTAACATCTGAAGAACCTTTCTGTTTCACAAAAGGTTCTTTGTGGCGAAATAAGGTTCTTCAGATTACAAAAACGCAAGAAAGAGATGGTTCTTTAAAGAACCTTTGACTGAATGGTTCTTTGTGGAACCAAAAATGGTTCTTCTATGGCATCGCTTGAAGAACCTTTTGAAGCACCTTTATTTTTAAGAGTGTAGAGAGAAGCATTGTGTTATTCCTATATTATATGATCTCCACATGCATTCAGAGTGTGAATGTCAAACTTTCCTAAACACTTCAATCCAAAGATCACTTTTATAATCCAGATTATAGTTGGTTATGCAAAGTTACTGCAGTCATTTAAAAACCGGCGCATGTCTGAGGTGATTAGATGTTTCATGTGACTGTAGTTTAGTTTGGGCTTTGCTCAGGCCTTAATTAGAACTGCACACACTTCAATAAACCAAATCCAAAACCATCAGATAAATTAGTCCACATACTTTATTGTGCCAAGACTTTGGAAGTAGGCCTGTACTTTGGATAGTACAAACTGACAGATAATAAGGATGCAGTTTGAACTGGATATCTATGCATTGCACCCACTTTTTATTTTTATCCTGCTCTTTTACTTCATTTGATTGACACTTCAATTACCTGCTTATGCTTGCGTTTTTCAGAAAATCACTTCTGAAAGACATTAGTGGGTGGGAAAGAATTAATTAATCATGTAAACAAATCAGAAATAGTCCAATTAATTTCCCCTTTATTTCCTGTTGACATGCCTCAGACTAGATGGCCTAAAGCACTTTCACTGGTGCAATGGAATGAGAAAAATGCTGTTGTTTGCTCTCACTATCAGCTTAAACGAATATTTACAGTCGTCGTTCATTCACTACCTGTTGTTTTTGAAATTGTTGAAATGGGTGATTATATATTAACCCTTAAAGAAACAAATGTAGTGTTAAGAAATGTTAACTGCATCCAAACAGCAGATTCATAATGTAAGTGCAACTGATTATTATTTGTCCATCCAGGGTTATGTTTTATTCACAACTCGAGAGGTTTCATTTAGGAGAATTTGATAAGAAAGAGATAATTTCTAAAACTTTAGAGAGATTAGATGTGAGGTTACCGGGGTCTTTTTCTCAGGAAAAACATCTGAGAAGCAGGAGCTCTCTGTTTCTTCTTCATTTCATCTTAACGGATGTCTAAGAAAACATAGTTAAAGGACTAATTCTTCATGTAAATGAATTTTCTTATTAGCTACTGAGTAATTGAAGACTTGAAGCGAGTGAACCCTGTGTGAGATTGAGGTCTGTTTTACATTAGTCAGTCTTCTGAAGGCCTTCTATTCGCAGTGCTGTGGGTCCATCATGTAGGTCAGAATCTGAGTTTCTCTGTTGTCTGTCTGTGCATCTGATTTCATGAACATGTGACCTCTACAGCGATTGACACGAGGTTTATGACGTACGATAAGATTTACATGGTTTGGATGAGGGTGAACTTTGTTCATTCTTACAGAACAGGCCAAAAAGAACAGCTGACATGCAAATATAGCTTAAAAATGGCAATGAATATTGAATAAAGAGGGTTTAATCTATCTGTCTCTGTCTGTCTGTTCATCCATTCGTCTGTCTATCATCCATCTATCCATCCATCTGTTTATCTATCAATCCATCATGTCTATTTTTAAATACATATGATAACAGTAGTTTCCTGTGGTTTGCAGATGACACTCTGTATTTAAGTACACCTGCTGAGTAAAGGTTATTTTAGCCTGTAATTGTCCTGTGGTTCTGCTGAGCGACTTGAGGTTTCGAGGTGGTTCAGTTCAGTAATGCCAGATAAACCTTGTGAACCCGGTGTATAGAGTTTGACCTGAGGACAACATTACGAATAGCTCATATCACCACACACACACACGCTCATAATGCTGACTAGACTCCTCACGGCTTGCATAAAGTTTATGAAATCACAGAGATTGTCTTCATGCACTATGAACGCTCTATATGTGATATCTAGAAGAGAATGACCTCTGGAAGACAAATATGACATTTAATATTTGCTTGGATTTATTTACAGATTTTATTTCTACAAAACACATCAGAAGTTCTTAAAGGGATAGTTCATCCAAAAATGAAAATTCTTAGGAAAGAGCAGACTTGAATCACGAACTCCTATCAACATATTATACATTAATATGTTTTGAGCCGATACCTTTAAAAATATATTATTTAAAAAATACAGTACAGAAATATCCTATATGCATTTACTAATAAAAATATAACATTTAAATTCAAAGACATCAATAGCCTTACATCTCATCTAGAGTGAACTGAATTATTGATTCATGTTGATGAATGAGAAAGAATGTGCAATTTGTAGAAAACATGCAAAGTTGATTTTAAACTGCAGGCTTTTCCATTTAAGTGTAATTTAAAAACACTAAAAATATTCCATATGAAAACACATAGGGCTGCTCTGATTGCACATATATCTTATGTTCCAGCAGTTACACAGACAGATATATAGGAACAAATGCTCCCTATTCACAGCCCTATTTGGTCTTCATATAAGGACAAGAGCAGCAAAATACCCCAACCGCTCAAAAGTCCCAGATTCTGCAGGAAAAATATCAGCCAAGGTCTTTTAGTGTCCACATGAACCAGGGAAGGAAGCTAGATGACAAAAACAGAGTTAAATTAAATTCAGTGTAAGTTTAGAGTCACAGTAAACACTGCTGCTGTTTTTGACTGCTGAACACGCTGAGAAGTTTGAAAGAGAAAACTGTTCACAGCTTGATAATGCGGTTATGTGAGAAAGCATTTTCGACTGAATAGATTGTAACGTACCATGTCTGCCAGACCCACGTACAGAAAGAGGCCGGCGGTGACAGCCGAAATCCACTCCTTAGCAAGCGTTTCTGTGGAGACGGACAGCGCGATGTATAGACCGATGAAGGAGGTGAGAGAGCTGCCCACGTTCAGCAGCAGAGCCCGCTTGACCGACAAACCACAGTGCAACAGGATCGCAAAATCACCTGAGACCAGAGAAAATAAATTCAGATGAAGCACATAGGAAAGAAGAATCACTATTGAGATCTCTTTCATGTTATTAAACAAATGGAGACTTTTGCTGAGGTTTTCAGCTGAACTCTTAAGAAACTTTAAACAAAGAAAACCA